TTTTAACTCATGAGGTTCATGTTCTAAGAACACTGTTTTTGTTATTAAAACATGTCTGGGTTCTAAGAACATTTCGCGGTATGACTATGGGAATGCCGGGACGGTCGGTCCCTGCTCAAAGGTGGGCGGGTTTGTGGAAGGGTGTTGGGCATGCTGCGCCGCGTGCTGCACCTGTGCTGCGGAATGCAGAACTTCGAGCAATCTGGCTTGGGGGACATATCCCACTGGCGCAGGGGATATCGATGGCGTCGCCCACGTGAGGGCCAACTGTATCACCAGGGCCGGCATTGCTTATGCAGCAGTGGCCCTGCCTCTGCGGACTCTTGGACAGCAGCTTCCAGAAAGAGCCGACGGTGACCTCTTGCTACGAATGTGGCGAGCATTGAAAGGATTCTTGCCTCGGGAGCGCGCATCACGCGTAATGTACGAGGGATGCTGGCACGGGGAGCGCGAATCGGGCGTAGTTTACCAAGGATTCTGGCCTCGCGGGCTCGTATCTGGCGTTTTGTGCGAATCTAAACTGTTTTATATTGTGTCTTAGACCATTCAGGCAACGCGATTCGAGCGTGGTCGCCAGGGTAGGTGTCGGTTCCTCCCCTCGCGCGGACAGCAATTTTCAGTAGGAGGCAGAGGGAAGCATCATAACATTCGAGACTGAAATCTGAGACTGGCACAGGGAGCAGGAAACCGAAGTCGCGCAGCCTGATGGCCCCACAAGGGGGCCCGCGAACGTATTAGTGTATTTCTATATTTTTCATCATATCCAACGGATTCGGGGTTCTCGTTATTACTCCGATCTCGACAACTTCTCACTTTACTCCGTGTTGCTCCTCCTCTTTGTGTTATGTTATGTCATGCTATGGCATCTTATCGTGTACTATGTTATGTTACGGTATGGTATACATATGTCATGACATGCTATTGCATGCCATGTTTGGATATGTTGTGTTACGCCATCGTATGTTATGCTATGCTATGGCTTGTAATACTAGTCATGCTATGCGGTGCTATGATACGGTACGTTATGTCATGTTATGCCATGCCATGCCATGCTATGTTATGTTATGGTATGCTATGCTGATGCCGCTGCTGCTGATCGTGATGATGATGCTGATGATGGTGATGTTGATGGTGATGATGGTGATGATGACGATACTGATGGTGGTGATGATGATGTTGCTGATGATGATGATTATGATGCTGATGATTCTGCTGATACTGATGATGATGTGACTGCTGCTGCTGATGATGAGGATGATGAGGATCATGATGATGATGATATTGCTGATGCTGATGATGCTGATGGTGATACTGATGATGCTGCTGATGCTGCTGATGGTGATACTGATGATGAGGATGAGGATGAGGATGAGGATGGGGATGATGCTGATGATGATGATGATGATGATGATGATGATGGTTATGATGATGATGATGGTGATGATGATGCTGGTGATGATGATGATGATGATGATGATGATGATGATGATGATGCTGATGATGATGATGATGATGATGATGATGATGATGATGATGATGATGATGATCCTGATGCTGATGCTGATGCTGATGATACTGATAATGATAATGATAATGATAATGATACTGATAATGATAATGATAATGATGTCGGAGCAAATCCTGAGGATGTCTCGAGCGAGGCGCTGGTTTCAGCACCCCCACGTGGGAGCCGCCAGGGGGTATGGCATTCCTCCGTTCGCGCCAGAATGGCGGGGATGTCTCTCACGATTTGCTTGTTTTGTGGCCCAACATCCTTCGCTGTCGGAGCAGCTTTGGAAGATGCCTCGAGCGAGGCGCTGATTTTCGCTCCCAGGGGGGGGGGCAGATTTTGAGGATGCCTCGATCGGTTTGCCTGTCTTGGAGGCCAGACCCGTGGGCGCGGATCCTCACCAGGATGCCACCAGGAGGCTCCTGCAGTCTCCAGGAGGCACCAGGAGGCACCAGGAGGTCCCAGGAGACATCAGGAGGCCACAGGAAGGCTCAAGAGGCCACAGGATGCCCCAGGAGGCTCCAGGAGGTACCAGGAAGTTCCAGGAGGCCTCGGGAGGCCCCAGGGTGTTCCAGGAGGCCACAGGAGGCCCCAGGAGGCAACAGGAAGCGCCAGGAGGCACCAGGAGGCCACCAGAAGCGCCAGGAGGCACCAGGAGTCCGCAGGAGCAGGAGGCCCAGACGGCCACAGAAGCGGCTCCAATCACATGTGTGTTTACGTATGCTCCTACAGATTGGGCCTTCCCTGCCGAACAAATATTTTGTGTTTACGTGTGTTTCTGTCGATTGCCTTTCCCCAGCGTGTCCAATCCTGAATGTTTTACGTATGTTCCTACAGATTGGGCCTCCCCTGGGGCATGAGTCAATGGTGTTTTACGTGAGTTCTTATAGCTTGTCTTTCTCCTGTGGCTCCAATCCGCAGTGTTCTCAGTATGTCTGTTCCTACATATTGGACAGCTCCTGGCACACGAATCCCCCCCAGGAGGCCCCAGGAGGCTCCAGGAGTTCCCTGCAAGCCCCTGGAGGCCACGCGAGGCCCCAGGAGGCCTCAGGAGGCCACAGGACGTACCAATAGGCCCCAGGAGGCCCCCAGAGGACCCAGGCTCATGCGCAGAGACGCGCTCTTACTACTGAGACTCATTCACGCTCCAACTCATTCACAGTTAGAACTCCCAGACCGTCAATATTCAAGCCCGCGAGTACTCGAAAAGTGTTGACGCTTCGCGAATCCCCACCAGCTTGGCCCGGCCGGCCCGGTTCGCGCCTAGCAGCTAATTCGGACTGTTTCCGCGCCCCGGACAGCTTCTGTCTCCGCCTGCGCTTTCGCTAGCGGACGCGACCGAAAAATAATCCCCACCAGCCCATCCAGAAACGATGCCCAGAGGAATTGCCTCGATCAGGGAAGCGGGCAGCACACAGAGGAAGGGTCCCCCAGTGGAGGCTTCTTGAAGCGTCTTGGGGGCCTCTTGGCGGTCCCGGGCGCCTCTTAGAGCGTCTTGGGTGCCTCGGAGAGCTTCTTGGGGCCTCTTGGGGGTCTCTTGGGAGCCTCTTGGAGGCCTCTTGGGCGCCTGTCGGGGCCTCCTGGGGCCTTCTGGACGCCTCTTGGGGCCCTCTTGAAGCGCTCTTGGGAGCCTTGGGGGCGCTCTTGGAGCCCTCTTGGGCCATCTTGGAGCCATCTGGAGGCCTCGGCGAGAAAGCCAAACATTGATTTTCCCAAGGTTTTGGTGGAAGGGTTTGGGCATCTTCGGGGCCTCCTGGGAGAGCTCTTTGGCCACTTGGAGCCGTCTTGGAGCGGTCTTGGGGCCTCTTGGAGCATCGTGGGCGCCATCTTGAGGCATCTTGGGATGTCTTGAGCCATCTTGGAGATCATCTTTGGCTCTCCCAGGCGCTCTTGGAGTCATCTGAAGCAGTGCCCCCCCCCCCCCCCCCCAGGAGGCCAACATGTGGCCAAAACCTTCGTAACATCAGCGATTTTGGCATTGCCGCAGAGGCCTCTTGGAGCGTCTTGGGTGCCTCTGGGGGGCCTCTTGGGGCCTCTTGGAGGTATCTGGGAGGTCTCTTGGGACCCTCTTGGGGGCATCCTGGGGGCCTCTTGGGGGCCTCTTGGGGCCTCCTGGCCACCTCTGGGGGCCCTCTTGGGGCACCCTTGGGAGCCTTGGGAACGCTCTTGGGGCCATCTCGGAGGAGATCGATCAAAGAAGTGGGGGTTCCGGATTACAGTCGCCCCCTTCAGAAGGCCAAAATGGGGCCAACACCACCGTAAAACCAATGATTTTGGTTTCCTCGCCGAGGCCGCTTTGGACGCCCCGACGACTTGCGAAACCCCCTGTCCACGTCCAGGGGGGGGGGTAGGGGGAGGTGTCCAGACGCCCTCCCCGCCCGCCTCGCTCACTCCCAACCGCCCTCCCAACACATACGTAGCACCCGAGCCTGACCCGAGCCGTAGCATATGCAGCAGTCGTCAGTGGATGGGCAGCTACTGGGGGCGAATCCGCCGCCGCCGCCGCCGCCGCCCGCCGCCGCCGCCGCCGCCGCCGCCGCCGCTGTCCGCCGCCGCCGCCGACACCGCGCTGCCCGCCGCCGCCGCCGCCGCCACCCCCGCTGCCAACTCGCCGCCGTCGCAGCCGCTGCCGCTGCAGTCGCTGCCGCCACCGCTGCCAACTCGCCGCCGCCGCCCCCGCCGCCGCCGCCGCCGCAGCCGCCGCCGCCGCCAAGTGTACTCCGTATTGTTTTTTGACAGGGATGGTGGGGGGAGACCGCATCGGGTTCGTTGCGCATGTTTAGGATTTGGAGACAGAGTGTGCTTTGCATTTTGTTTTTGCAAGGGATGGTGCGGCCAGAGTGTGTGTTTGTATGTTTTTTGCAAAAGGGACGGTGGGTGGGGGGCCCGCATGGACTTGGGTTGGCTCCCAGTCGCTTGGGGGAGGGGGTGTATAAAAATAGGGAACAATGATAAACCCCTCCCCGACAGGGGAAGGAGGGATGGAAGAGGAAACTCCCCAAGCCACCGACGCCCAGGGGGATGGTGGGACTTTTGCGCCTAGACGCTCACAGTGGACAGGCCCATGCTAGTATAAGCACACATGGGGAGCTTCACGCAGTGAGAAGTCAGAGTCATGCACATACACATACTAGAGAGAGAGAGAGAGGGAGAGAGACAGAGAGAGAGAGAGAGAGATAATGAGAGGGAGAGAGAGTGAGCGAGCGAACGAGAAAGAGAGAGAGAGAGAGAGAGAGAGAGACAGAGAGAAAGACATAAACACATTGAGCGAGAGAGAGCGAGAGAGAGAACGAGAGAGCGAGAGAGCGAGAGAACGAGAGAGAGAGATAGAGACAGAGAGAGAGATAACGAGAGTGCGAGTGAGAGAGAGAGAGGGGGAGAGAAACAACATGCAGAAATGGAAAGAGAGAGAGAGAGAGAAGGAGGGAGAGAGAGAGAGAGAGAGAGAACGGTGATAATGAGGAGGATGCAGGGAACCGCCCGTCTGCAGGCCCAGCTCATGCAGAGACTACTGTGGTCGTCGGTGCCCTGCCGCCTCGCTCTCTGGCCCCGCGTGTTGCCTGCCTGCCTCCGAAGATGAAGGGAGGGACGCGACGCGGAGGAGGAGAAGGAACACGAGGAGGAGGAGGATGAGGAGCGTGAAGGGGAGGAAGAGAGAGGAGGAGGAGGAGGAGGAGGAGGAGGAGGAGGAGGAGGAGGAGGAGGAGGAGGAGGAGGAGGAGGAGCGTGAAGAGGAGGAGGAGCGTGAAGAGATGGAGGAGGAGGAGGACCAGTGTAAACCAAAACTCCTCAGCGATGTTGGAACAATCCATCCCTCCAAGCTCCCCCATCATGCGACCCGTACAAGACTCGTGTCCACTAAGGGAAGAGCCCCGTTGGGAGATAAGCGTTGAAAGATCGGGAAGCGTGCCAAAACACACTTTTCGAAACTCCAACGCCAAGAATCGACCTGTCCGTATAACCCTTGCGAATGTTTAGGACGAATGTGCACGGCGCTAAGGCGAGAGCCACATTCCCCAAACAGTGCTTGCACTGGAAGGGTCCTAGCGGATATTCCCCAATCAGTGCTTGTACTGAAGGGCAGGGCTGGACCCAAACGCTGCTCTGCGTGACTTCAGCTGTGTTTTGTTTTTCGTTTTGGCATGGAGGTACTGGGAAACAGATAGAGCAACACGATAAGCAAAACGAACACAAAACGAAGAACAACGTTTGGTCCAGCCCTGCTGAAGGGGCCCTCGACCTTCCAACCGTCCTCACTATCGATTCCAGTATCGATCTCACAATCGAATTCAATATCCATATCATGAATTTTCATACCTTCCACTGATTGAAGGATCTGGCGAAAGATCCGGGCCGATTTCGGTACCGGCCCGGTTCCCGGGTTTTGGGTTTCTGGGTTCCCGGGTTCCTGGTTCCTGGCTCTGGGCCGGTTTCGCGGGTGGCGGGGTTCCCGGGTTTCCGGGTTGTTGGTCGATCTTCTTATCGATCGGTCTCACCATCGATCTCATTATCTTTCTCTCCATCGATCTCACCATCGATTGATCTCACAATCGAAGTCACTATCGATCTCGCAAGCGATCTCACTCTAGATCGCACGAGCGATCTCACAATCGATCGCACTATCGATCCCATTGAATCGACTTCACTCTCGGTCTCACGATCGACGTTACAATCGTCCTCACTATCGATTCCACTATCGATCTCACGATCGATCTTACCATCCATGTTATCAATTCTCAAGCCATCCATTGATTGTTTTTTCTTCCTGGTGTAATTCCCAAATCAATTCTTGCACTGAAGGGGTCCCAGCGGATATTGTAAGTTTTTGCGAAAGTTGCGGGCCGATTTCGGTGGGCGGCCGGGTTCCGGGTTCTTGGTTCCGGCTTCCCGGCTCCGGGTTCGGGGCCGATTGGTGGGCGGCGGGGTTCCCGGGTTTCGGGTTTTTTGTCGATTTTCTTATCGATCGGTCTCCTGGTCCCACCATCGATCGCATTACCCACCTCTCTGTCGATTTCACCATCGATCTCACCATCGATCTCATAATCTTCTCACAAGCGATCTCACTATAGATCGCACGACCGATCTCACCGTCGATCTCATTATCGATCTCATTGAATCGACTTCACTCTCGGTCTCATGATCGACCTTACAACCGTCCTCACTATCGATTCCACTATCGATCTCACAATCGAATTCAATATCCATATCATGAATTTTCATACCTTCCACTGATGTTTTTTTTTTTCGGGGGTGATTGACGGATCTGGCGAAAGTTCCGGGCCGATTTCCGTGGGCGGCCGGGTTCCCGGGTTCCGGGTTCTGGGTTTCTGGGTTCCTGGGTTCCCGGCTCCGGGTTCGGGGCCGATTTCGGTGGGCGGCGGGGTTCGCGGGTTCCCGGGTTCTTGGTCGATCTTCTTATCGATCGGTCTCACCATCGATCTCATCACCCACCTCTCCATCGATCTCATTATCGACCGATCTCACAATGAATTTTAGTTTCGATCTCACAAACGATTTTTCTTAGATCGCACGACCGATCTCACGATTGATCTCACCGTCGATCTCATTGAATCGACTTCAATCTCGGTCTCACGATCGACCTGACAATCGTTCTTATTATCCATTCCACTATCGATCTCACAATCGTTCTCACCAAACCATCCACTGGTTGGGGTGTTTCTCTGGTGTAATAATCGCCCTCAGCCCGTGAGACTCTTGGAATTAATTAAACGAATGTGCGCAGCGAGAGCCACAGTTTGAACAGGGACCGCCCTCAATCCGTGAAACTCTTGCAATTGTTTCAACCATCCTGTGGTGTTGGGTCTTCTCCTTGGAGAGACTGTGCCCCGCGATCTTCTCCTCTCCTCTCCCTCGTCCCTTCATCAGCAGCATCATCAGCATCATCAGCATCATAATCATTAGCATCATGACCATCAGCATCATCATCATCGTCATCGTCTTCATTCTCATCCTCATCCTCATCCTCGTCCTCATCCTCGTCCTCCTCATCATCATCATCAGCATCATCATCCTCATATTCATCCTTATCCTCATCATTATCCTCCCCCTTATCATGATCATCCTCAGCATCACCATCATCATCACCATCATCATCGTTACAATCATCATCATGACCATCATCATCATCAGCATCATCATCATCAACATCGTCGTCATCATCATCACGACCATCATCAACGTCATCATCATCACCACCATCATTATCACTACCACCGTCATCATCACCATCAGCACTATCATCATTATACACATCATCATCATCATCATCATCAGCAGCAGCAGCAGCAGCATTATCATAATGACCATCATCATTATCAGTATCATCATCATCAGCATCATCATCAACATCATCATCCCCACCATCAGCTTCGGCGTAACTACCCGTCACACGGTCTGTACGGCAGGCTCGTGTTGTGTCGACCAGCGGCGACCCCAGCGCGTGCGATTAAGGTTGAACGCCGCTCGTGGCCCAGAAGCGGCCCGTCGTTGAACGATCCGGCGTTCACGGAACGGCCGATCGTTCAAGTTTGAACGATCTGCGCGGTGTCAGGAACCAACGCTGGGGTCGACACGACGCGAACTTGCCGTAGCCCCACAGGTAGTTCCACGAAGGCCCAAGTGGCAGGGTTCGCATGGCGGCCCCGCCCCATTTCGGCAAACCCCTCATCCGTTTCGTGGGTCCCATCGGGAGTTCTACCGAAGGCCCCAGTGGCAGGGATCGCATGGCGGCCCCGCCCCATTTCGGAACGCACGTTTCGTGGCCCCAAAGGGAGCTCAACCGAAGGCCCCAGTGGCAGGGTTTGCGTGGCGGCCCTGCCCCATTTTGGCACACCCCTCGAACGTTTCGTGGCCCCATGGGGAGCCTCGCAGAAGGCCCCGGTGGCATGGTTTTCATGGCGGCCCCGCTCCATTTCAGCACACCCTTTACTCGTCTCGTGGGTGGCCCCATAGGGAGCTCCACCGAAGGCCCCAGTGGCAGGGTTCTCATGGCGCCCCAGCCCCATGTGTCCCAATAGGGAGACCCGCAGAGGACCCCAGTGGCAGGGTTGGCATGGCGGCCAGACGTTTCGTGGCTCCATAGGGAGCTCAACCGAAGGCCCCAGTGGCAGGGGGTTCGCATGGCGCCCCAGCCCCACTTCTGCGCACCCCTACACGTTTCGTGGCCCCATACGGAGCTCCACCAAAGGCCTCAGTGGCAGGTTTTCGTGGCGGCCTCGCCCCATCTTGGCACACACCCGTCACACGTTGCGTGGCCGCATAGGAATTTCACCGAAGGCGCAGTGGCAGGGTTCGCAGGGCGCTCCCGCCCCATTTCCGCACATCCCTTTACTCGTTTCATAGCCTCATTGGGGGCCTCCGACGAAGGCCCCAGTGGCAGGGTTCGAATGGAAAACGTGCCCCTCACGATTTTCGTGGCCCCATAGGGAGCTCCACCGAAAGCTGTATTCAATTGCATATTGGTGGGCCCTTGGCCAGGATGACTTATTACGAGTTTGTGCGGCGCTAAGGCGAGAGCCACATTTTGAACACCACCAGCTCTCAAATAGTGAAACTCTTGCAATACTTTAAGACGAGTGTGCGCCGCGCTGAGGCGAGAGCCTCATTTTGGAAGCGGCCCGCCCTCCACCTGTGAAACCGCTGCCAAAGTCTAAGATTCAGGACTAGAATGGAGCGGAAGGCTGGGCGAAACGCCCGGCCCGCCCCTTCGACCAGCCTCGGGGCGCGACAGGGAGGGGTTATTCACAAGGGCGAGGAACGGAGGAGGATCGATCGGGGGCCACATGCGAACCCCACCCCTCCCCCCCACGATTTCTGAGGGGGAGGGTGGGGTCCACTTCGTTCGGGAGCTCCCGAGTGAAGTGACCCCCCCCCCCCTCAGAAATCGTGGGGTAGGGTAGGGCTCGCACGCGGCCCCCTCATCGAGTGGGCTCGGACTCGTCGGACAGATGTGGTGGGGGGGGGGAGCACGGGCAGTGGACAGGCAGCTCCCGTGGCGGCCCCGGTGGGCATGCCTTCACTCTGGCGGGTGCCAGCCTCCCGCCCCCCTTCTCCTCCTCCTCTCCTCCTCCTCCTCCTCCTCCTCCTCCCTCCTCCTCCTCCCCTCCTCCTCCCCCTCCTCCCCCCTCTCCTCCTCCTCCTCCTCCTCCTCTCTCCTCCTCCTCCTCCTCCTCCTCCCCCCCCTCCCCCTCCTCTTCCTCCTCCTCCTCCTCTCTCCTCCTCTCCTCCTCCTCCTGGCGGGTGTCCGCCTCCCCCTTCCCCCCCCCCCCAGAGACCCGACGTCGCCCCAGACCTTTCTGCGCGCGTCCTGGCCTCCTCCCCCTCCTGCGGGCTCCCGAGGGAGAGACGGGCCCCAGGCCCCGGGCTCAAGTCGGGCATGTCCCTTCCCTCTACAGGGGGGATATTCAGTGTTTTTGGTTTTGTATATATAAAAGACAGTCTGGGGACGAGTTCTGAGATACTAATACAAGTTTTTCATTTCTCGTCCACAATTCGCCTGGAGGAGGACATGCCCGACCTAACCCCAGGCCTCTTCTTCCCGGGCTCCGCTTCTTCATCCCCAGTCGTGCGTCGACGGCCTCGGGGGGCCCCAGCACGGCGGACAACTTTCGGGGCCCCTCTTGCTCCAGGACCCATGTCCTTCGTGCTAGCCTCCTCCGCCCTCCTCCCCCCTCCTCTCCCCCCACCACCCCCCACTTCCCCTCCTCAGGCAGCAACTCCTGGGATGTCAACTTGAGCGTCGGCGCTGCAGTTTCCTTGGCTCCACGCCCGAAATGGGTACTGAAAGAATGGGTACAATGCCGAACAGCGGATCTGGTTCATTTTGAACAGGACTCGCTGTCCACGCCGCCGCGGCCTGTGTCCATTCGAGACAGAAGGCCGCCTGCCCAACAGCGGCCGCTGTTGGTTTGGGACAACGTTTGTTGTGGGGCATTGTACCCACTCTTTCCGTGCCCAGTTCGGGCGTCCAAACCTCTGGCCGAATCCAGACGAATCCGTCCCAGTCCCGCTTCGTCCGGCTCAGTCCCGCCCGATCCCCCTTAGTCTGGCCTCATCTCCGAGGCGGGGATTTGTCCGCCGCCACTGCCTTGAGGATCGATCTTCGGGGACCTCGGCAGGCGGTTGGCATGGACGGATGCTTGCAGGCCCTGCGGGGACCAAGTTTTTTCATGTCCGCCGCCTGCTGAGGTCTCCGAACCTCGATCCCCCGGGTGGTGGTTATGGATCGAGTCCCCGCCTGGTATCCTCCTGATCAATCAGGCACAATCTGTCGGATGCAACTCCTGGGGGGGCCAAATTCTGATTTTGCCCTGGTCCGAAATCCGGCTTGATCCCGCTTGATCCAGTGTCATCCCGCTTAATCCCGCTTAATCTGGCTTAGTCCCGCTTAATCCGAGGCTCACTCCGGCGTAACAGCCCCCCAATGGGGCTTAGTCTTTTTTAAATCCTTCCGGCGAAGACTCCCAGTAGATGCTTCCTAACAATCTGACACAGCAGCCCTGCGATCGGGCATGCGCGCAGGAGCTCTGTCTGGCCCAGCGTGTCGCATCGCCCGGTTTGGCCCACCACGCTTCGGCGCGACCGGCCGAACACTTCCTGGCCCCCAGGTGTCAACGTCCCGACCTTTTCCCAGCCTCCCGCCGGGGCGACACGCCATCCGCTTGCAAGGCATGGCGTGCTGCCGCGGCCGCCGCCGCGATGCGCTGAGCAAGAGTTGCCGACCGTCAGTAGCCGCTTCCCCCCTCCACGAGCGGTGCACGCTGGGCGCGCGCTCTGCCCTCGCAGTCGGGAGCCTTGAGACGGGGGTCGATGCAGGCGGGGGCCAGTCCGAGCGCCAGATCTTGCAGGGTCCTGCAGAGCCAGGGGCGCACCGACCTCGGGGGCGGAAAAGAGGGGGGTGGTGACTGGGGGGGGGGTGGATATCATGGCGTGGGCCATGATATTTCCCCAGATTTCATGGCGCCCCTTCTTATTTCATTACGTCCCTGGCCCCCCCGCTGGGCCGCGCACATGCCGCCGGTCACGATTTGCACCCCCCCCTCTTGGACACCTCCCTCTTGTCCGCTCCCGACGACCCAGGCCTGGGTGCCGGATCCGGTAAGGCCCGACTGATTCGGGTCTGGATTGGCCCGGGTCAGTGGATCTCCCAACGCAGGTGCGGATGGATTTCAGCGATGCGACCTCGCAGAAGGTGCTCGGCGAGGCGCCTGGCCCGAGCGCCCCTCGTGTGCCCATGCTGCCAAGCCGCTGAGATCTGTGGGAGGAGGAAACTGTACTCGTCGGTCGTTGAACGGAAGTATTCCTGGACTCCCAGATCCCAGCTTACTTTTGGCGCCTTCCTACTTACATACTCGGCATGGTTTTGGTGTGCTTTGTTGTCCTCTGGGAGGGCCTGAACCCAGTCCACCTTCTCCGCCTTCCTACTTCATGTTTTCACCTGCTTCGTCCGACCGACGTGTACCGATCCCGCTTTTAGTCTTTCTGGGCCTCTGGGGAGGCCCTTGTCGCCACGGCCAGATTCGTGTCGGAATCTTCGTCGGAACGCACCTTGCAAGAGGTCTTCGGAGGAGTGCTTTCTCTACCTGTTTGCCCCCCCCCAGTTCAGACGCTGAGATAAGAACAGTTTGGGTCTCAGGGAGGGGCTCTGGTCGTGGGGCCGTTCCTCAAATCCAGGCCTCGGAGCCCAGTGCTTCGTGGCCGAGGCTCGCAGTGGCCCGAAGAGCTTCGTTTTTTTCTCAGCGTTTCTCGTGGTTACACGATGGCCGGACTTTGCTCGTGTCCTTCCCTCCTCTCTCCCTCTGCCCCTGCACTTCTCGCTTCTCTCTGTCTCTCTATTTGTTCTCTCGCTCTTTCTCTCTCTCTCTCTTTCTCTCTCTCTCTCTCTCTTTTTTTGTTTTCTCTCTCTCTCTCTCTCTCTCTCTCTTCATTACCAGAAATGACACCCCCACCCCCAGTCGCGGCATCTGGGGGGCGGTCCCCGTCCCCAGGGGCGTTTTCTAGCGGGGTGATCTCAACCGAGGGCCCCGTTTTAGGACATATGCATAATATAACGGTGGCGATGATGACCACGATGGTCGCGATGATATGATGAGGTAGATGAGGAGGAAAGTGGGATGGGGGGGCGGTGGGGGAGGGGGATGATGGGGGGAGGAAGGGGGGGCAGGGGGAGAGACGAGTCGAGAGCAAGGCGGGGCGAGGTATGGGCGGGGGGGGGAGGAGGGGGCAGAGGGAAAGGGGTGGGAGAAAGAAGAGGGATGTGCGGCGTGCGGCACCATATTGCGCAGCCGTTGGCTGTGGGCGCCGAGTTGCGCCCTCCACGGCGGCCCCCATTCCCCCCCTGGGCCGCCCTGTTTCCTGCAGCGATGGCCCCGAAGATCTCCAAACCAGTGATTTCGCCAGAGATGCGCATGCTGTCGCTGATGCTGGTGAACAAGGTTCCTTCTCCCCCCTTCCTCCCCGCCGTCGTTCTTTTCGCCTGTTAACCCCCGCTTCCCTATATCGCAACTTCTTGACGCTTCGCGTGTCCCCACCAGCCCATCCAGAAACGACGCGCAGGTGAGATGAGGTGACCAGGGAGGTGTGGGAGCAAAGATGGGGGACAGCCGAACCGAGCGAAGGAGGGATGGGGATAATGAGGGCGCTGGATGGATGGATTGATGGATGGATGGGTGATGGCTGAGGGGGTCGGGAGAAGGATGATGAATAGGATGGGGAAGAGAAGGGGGGGGGGGGCGGAGGAGGAGGAGGAGCAGCAGGAGGAGGAAGAGGAGGAGGAGGAGGAGGAGGAAAAGGAGAAGGACGAGGAGGGAGAGGAGGAGGAGGAGGAGGAAGGGGAAGAGGAGGAGGAGGAGAAGGCGGAGGAGGAGGAGTAAGAGGATAATGTGGAGGAGAGCTTGCTTTTCGGATGTCTCTTGGAAGCCTTTTGCAGGCCTCTTGGGGCGCCTTGGGGGTATCTTGGCGGGCCAGGGGGGCTCTTGGGCGTCTAGTGTGCCTCGGGGGGGCCTCTCGGGTCCTTTTGGGGGCCTCTTGGAGGCCTCTTGGGGGCCTCCCGGGGGCCTCTCGGGGGCCTCTTGGGGCCGCCTTGGGGGCCTCTTGGGGCCTCCTGGGCGCCTCTTGGGGCCATCTTGGAGAAGATCGATCAAAGAAGCTGGGTTCCTCAATTAGCGCTGCCCCTCTAGAGTCTCTCAAGTCGCCTCTTGGACCCCTCCTGGGGCGCTCTTGGAGCGCTCTTGGGCGCTCTTGAGGCAGTCTTGGGACTCTCTTGGGCTCCTCTTGGGGCACTCTTGGGCCATCTTGGAGCCGTCTTGAGGCCTCGGGGGGCCGCCCGAAGCGAAAAGGCGAGAAGCCACACATCATCAATTGTCCGTATGTATTTGAAGGATTTGGGCTCTTCGAGGCCTCCTTGGGCGAGCTCCTTTGCCACTTGGGGCCGTCTTGGGGCTTTCGCGTCTCGGGGCATCTTCGGAGCCATCTTGAGGCATGTTAGGCTATCTTGAGCCATCTTGTAGGTCACCTCGGGCTCTCCGAGGCGCTCTTGGAGCCGCCTTGGGCGAACGCATGCCCTCTGACACCTCGCGCGCCCCCCCCCCCCCTTCCCGCCCAGGTCCAGGTGGGTGGGGTGGGGTGGGTGGGTGGGTGGGGTGGGTGGGTGGGGGTGGGTGGGGGGGGGGGGGGTGGGGGGGGGGGGAGGGGGGGAAAGGGGCGAAGGGGGGTAAGGCCCCCCCCCCCCCCCCCCCCCCCCCCCGAAAGGGAAAGAAGGATGTCGGGAGAAACCGCCCTAAACCACCGAAGCCCCAGCAGGGCTGTGGGATTCTTCGCCCGCGGCCCCCAGCCCTTTGCGTCGTTTCCCGCGCAACCCCCCCCCCCCCCAGATGGAGAAGCCCGATGGCGTCGCGCCAGATGGTGAATGTGCAACTCAAATGCAGCGGTGAAAGGGATCATCGTAAGTTGGACGCAGGATTCGCGGCGCGGGTGGGCGGGGGCGGATGCGGGAATGAGGAGAAGGGGGGTGGGGGGTGGGGTGACATGGTTGGGAGGGGGGGGTGGTGGGGGGGGGGGTGGGGCGATGAGGATGAGGGTGATGGGGGTGGGGGATGTGGAAAAGGAGTAGGGGGGAGGAGGGGGAGGATGAGGTGGATTGGGATTTTGAGTTCCAGGAGGAGGATGTGGAGAAGAAGGGGGAGGAGGAGGGGGAGGACCTCGTCGTCTCGCCCTCCTTGCCCTCCTCGTCCTCACCCTCCTCGTCCTCGTCCTCCTGCCCCTCCTCCTCGCCCTCCTCATCCTCGTCCTCCCCATCTTCCTCGAGGTCCCCTCCTCACCATTCTCTTCGTCCTCGTCCTGCTCATTGTCCTCGCCCTCGTCGTCGCCGTCATCGTCGTCATTGCCCTCCTCGTCCCCATCCTCCTCGCCCTCATTATCCGTGAGCTCCTCCTCGCCCTCATCCTCCTCGTCCTTCTCCTCCGCATCCTCGCCTTCATCATCGCCCTCCTCATCTTCGCCATCCTCGTCCTCCTCCTCGCTCTCCTCGCCCCCCTCGCCCCCGCCCCTTCCCCCCCCCTCCTCAGGACACGAAGAAGATCCCTCTCATCCAGGTTGTCGTTGCCAAGGCGCCCGAGGATATCCAGCCCTCGCCGAAGGGCAAATCCAAGAAGGCCGGGGCGCAGGCCAAGGGGTTGTCGGAGAAGCCGCGCTTCGATGCCGACAAGATCAAGCAGATGGGCGACTTGCCCAGCGCGTGGCTCTTCGGCCTCCTGAAGCAGCTGGCGTCGCACGTGATCTCGGGCGAGGTCGTCCAGGTCGTCTCTTCGAAGGGCTCCGTGGCCATGAAGCACATCATGGTGTATCTGACTGGACTGCGCGAGGGGGGTGGTGGAGGGCAGGAGGATGGAGGCGACGAGGAAGACGGGGATGGGGGCGATGACGAGGAGGAGACTGACGATGATGATGGAGATCACGAGGGGGGCCGATGCGGGCGGGGCGGAGTGGCAAGTCGGAAGGGCGGGAGTTTTCTGGGAGAGGGATGCAGCGCGAGGATGATGAGGAGGGCGCGGGCGCCCACG